TTCTTTTATGGTTTCGCATGGTTTTGAAAGGAATTCATATGATTGCTGTGTGTATCATAGTAAGCTGGAAAATGGTTCCATGATTTATTTGCTGTTATATGTTGATGACATGTTGGTTGCCACGAAGAATAAATCTGATGTTACTAGATTGAAAGAGTTGCTTAACTCGGAATTTGACATGAAAGACTTAGGTGCAGCTAGGAAAATTTTGGGTATGGAGATCTACAGAGATCGAGCTAGAGGTAAGCTTTTCTTGACCCAGAAAAGTTACATTGAAAAGATTTTGTCTCGTTTTGGGATGGAAAAATCAAAGCCTATAAGTACGCCAACTACTGTTAGCTGTAAGTTGTCTTTGTCTCTGTCACCTCAAACTGAGGAAGAGTTGAACTATATGTCTAGGGTTCCATATGCCAACGCAGTTGGCTGTTTGATGTATGCTATGGTCTGCACTAGGCCGGATATTGCGCATGTTGTTAGTGTTGTAAGCAGGTTTATGGCTCGACCTGGGAAAGAACACTAGCAGGGGGTGAAAAGGATTTTTCGCTATTTGAGAGGGACAGCTGATATTGGACTTGTGTATGGGAATGATAAAGAGTGCTTGGTGACTGGGTACAATGATTCTGATTATGCAGCTGATGTGGATACCAGGAGGTCCGTGACAGGGTATGTGTTCACTTTGGGTGGTTCTGTGGTTAGTTGGAAGTCTACATTGCAGTCTTCGGTGACGTTGTCTACTACTGAAGCTGAGTACATGGCTTTAACTTCTGCAGCTCATGAGTCTATTTGGCTCAAAGGTCTTGTAGGTGAACTGGGTATTGCATAGGATTTTGCTACGGTGTATTGTGATAGTCTAAGTGCTATTTTCTTAGCTAAAGATCAAGTGCACCATGATCGGACTAAGCACATTGATATCAGGTATCATTTCTTACGTACTGACAAGAGGATTAAGGTGAAGAAGATTGGGACTGCTGACAACCCGACTGATTTCTTCACTAAGCCTGTTCCATTTAGTAAGTTCAAACATTGCTTGGACTTGCTAAATATCGATTACTATGTGATGTAGTTCGCCCTTAGGGGCGATGTTGGGGAGCTTCTGGTGTAGGTGTGTTGGCCTTAAGGTGGAGCTTGCCCGGGGCTTGTAATGCAGGTGGAGCATTATAAGTTGGTATACTTGGAGACAAGTATATTATGAGACAAGTATATTTCACTTATCGGGATGAATGGCTTATGCATGAGCTTTGCATCGGGTTTGGCTTGAGATATGTTTCACTATGTGATTGATGGGATCGTGTTTGCTGACTACGTGTTCTCGTCAAGGTGGAGATTGTTGAAGAAAGTGACTCAAATTTCGTAGAAATCGAAGGTTTTCTTCACCGCCCGATCGGATCGGGCGGTGAAGATAGGAAGGCAGCTTGTATGAAGGCAAGAAGACCCTCACTGCCCGATTGGGCGGACCCTGCCCGGTCGGACCGGGCAGTGAGGAGCTTGGCCTGGCAGTCTGTGCGTATTCTGGAGACCCCCACTGCCCGATCGGGCGGTCGTTGCCCGGTCGGACCGGGCAGTGAGGGGAAGGCAGTGCAGGAGCTTCGTTTGAGAAGTTTCTTCCCGCGCTCGATCGGGCAGACCTTGCCCGGTCTGACCGGGCGGAGAAGGAAAGTACGGAGCGCGTATTTTTATGATGAAAAATTATCTTTTATTTATCTTTTTGCCCAAGTATCTTTTATTTTAGGGATTAATATAAAAACTCCCAATACTAGTATTAGGGTAACAAGAGAGATAGAAGAGGGGAGAGAGAAGAGCCGTTCTTGAGAGACAAGAATCATCTTTGTAATCTTTGCAGTTTATAGTGGAAACGTTGATTTCGGTGCCCGTGGACGTAGCTATCACATTGATAGTGAACCACGTAAATTCTTGGTGTGTGTTCTTATTGTTTGCATTGAATTTATTTATTGTTTTCGTTATTGTTTTTCGATCTTTGCTTCCGCTGCTGCACAACATATGGAGGGGGGCTAGTTGTGAGGAGCTGGTATGGTATGATGGGATCTCTTTTGCTGACCTGATTGCTGATTGGAAGGATAAATCAAGCACCAAATGTAGACAATCTCACCCTCGTCTCAAGGCTTTTGAAGGGTTCCATCTATCTCACTGAGCTCCACTCTATTCTAGAAGACATTATGTCTATTTCTTCTTCTTTTGATATTGTTATTTGGTCTCACGTTAAACGCAATGGCAACGTTGCTCATCACCTAGCTAAGTTAGTCCCTTTTGGTGTTGAACAAGTTTGGTTTAATAATTGTCCTTGTGAGGTTAACCCATATATTTTGATGGACTTGTTGTCCCTTAATTAATCCCATAGTTACGTGATTTCCAAAAAAAAAAAACAAATTACGTCCATAAAAACTTGATGTAGAATTGAAGGAAGGATGATGGAGAATTGTGAGAATTATTATTATTATTATTATTATTATTTTTTTTTTTTTTTTTTTTTTTTTTTTACCATTCAAACAAAAATTGGACGTTAGATGGGCCCAATATAACGAAATTAGGGACGTAATTTGTCAATGAGGCGTGCGGGAAAATGTAGAATTAAAATTTGGAAAATTTGCAAATTACCACCCAAAAATAGTATCAATTTCTAAATAACCACCCAATTAAAATTTATTTTAAATTACCGCCCACTAAAATAATTTTTTATGCAGATTACCACCTTTTTCAATTTTCCGTTTGATTTCAGGTGAGTGGGGCCCACCTAACGGCTATTTTCCCCTTCCTAATTGAATTTCTTCCCGATTTTCCCCTATTTAACATTACTCCTACCCTAATTTGCGATTTGTACATCAAAATTTCCCCAAATTCCTCAAATTTCAGGCCCTTGTATTTGCTGTAACATCTTGAAGAATCGTTAGAGGTGAATTCGCATCAGGTAACCTATTACATTCTTTAAATTTACAAGATACTAATTGTGCTGAAATTGGGGAAAACTTGTTGATTAGTTGATTAGGGTTTACTTTCTTCGCTAATTAGGATTATTTTCCAATCGAATTGAGGGAAACTAAGTGTTTAGTTAATTAGGGTTCATGTTGTTTGCCCAATTTAGGTGTTTTGTCATTGAATTTCTGTTAGTACTGGGTAAGTTGTGTTTGCAATGTTTACACTTAATTAAGTACTCTTAGAATTGGTTGAAGCATGTTTTAAGCTGTTATGTTTATTTGTTGTTGGAATTATTGTGGTAGAAATGGAAGAGAATAAGGTGGTTCTCAGATTTAAGTATTTGACTATAGTTATTGACCTTGAATATGAGATTGGCAAAAGTAACTTACAAGATACTGCAATAGCATTTGAAGAACAACTTCGTGATATGGATGATCCTATAGAAGGATCAATTGACATTTTGTACCCCATATTCCAGTACTTATATAAAGGAAAGTATTGGACTTTAGAAGATGATGGAGATTTGTTCAAGATGATTAGGAGATTACCTAATCAGGAGTTTTACACCATACATGTTGGAAGCACAGATGAGCCTGGTTTCTTGGCTGACTGTATACTTGAGTACAGGATGAAGCAAAATGGGACTTGGCCACCCCCTGGTTATCCTGATTATGGTGGCCAACCACCACAGTGAATAGGTGTGAGTAAGCAGTGTTGTGTACTTGGTTGGTTGTTGTTATTGTTGATTTAACTGACTTGTTTTATGCTCATTTTAGGTCTGATAATGTCTTGGAATAACACATCTCCCACAAACCAGAAGAAATGCAACTGTGGCTTGCCTTTTGCAAAGTTGACATCATGGACTACTTCTAACCCAGGCAGGAAATTCAAGGCTTGCAAGTTCTATGACCCTAACACTGAAACTAGGGGGTTGTAAGTGTTTTGAATGGGTTGATAGTGAAGGGACTGAGTGGCAGAGAGAGGTGATTAACCAGTTGGTGCTTGACAAAAAGTTGATGAAGGGTGAAGTGAACACACTCAAAGTTCAGGTTGATGATCTCACTGCCCAAAGAAGATGCTTGCTCAATGAGGTGGATACTCTGACATTGAAATGCAAGTCCCTAAATGGTGACAGGAAGAAGATGCTCCACAGCAATGGTGGTTCTGACAGCAAGCTTTTGGTTATTGTAGTTCTTATATGTTTAGTGTTATTAGTTTTAGGTAGTGTTGTACTTAATAAGTTGGTTTGAGTGGGAGGTGTGCTGATTAAAATGATGATTTGTGGTGTTATTTGTATGTAGTATGAATGAAACAAGTTATTTTGGTATCAATGAAACAAGTTATTTTGGTATCAATTTTGGCATGAGTTGTTTGTATTTTGGCATCAATGACACAATCACATAATCATTGAAATAAAACAACAAAAAGTATTAACAAAGTTCAAAATAATTATCTTGCCAATGCAATCAACAACTAGTCATTCACCAATTCAAAACAGAATCCAAAAGATTGAAACAAAGGCAGTCATCATTGTTCAACTACTTAAAAAAAGACTTAACATTGTTCAAATACTAAGATTGTTTAAAAAAAAAAACTTTTCATTGTTCAACTAAGATTGTTTCAAAGTACTCTATTCCCTAGTCATTCTAATAGTGTGCAACTTGCTTCTTGGTGCTTCTGAATCTTGTGCATAGGCTGTGGCAGCTGTTGTAGTTGAAGTCTGGCTCTGCTGAGTCTGCTGTTCAGTCTGGTGCTCACTTTGATGCTGACTCTGTTGTTGACCACTCTGCTGCTGCTTCTTTCTATGCTCTTCCTGGGGGAACTTCTTCCTGGCTATACTATGTGGTCCAGGTGTACCACTAACAACACTCTGAAAAAAAAAAACTTTTAGTGCTAAAAAACTTAAAACCTACACTACAATTAGCATAAATTAACTTTAAATCACCTTTCTTGATGCCCTTTCTGCTTTCATCCCACTCAGTATTCAAATGTGGTCTACCACCTTCTTTCTTAGGGGATGATACAGCCACTGGTGTCACTGATGGGTTGTTGCAGGTCTTAGCATAGTGTCAAAGCTGGCCACAATTCTTACATGTTGCCCTTCTCTTGACTGGTTTCTCTTCTTGCTGGCTCTGCCCCACAATTTCTCCCTGTTCCAGCTTTCTTTTCTTACTCTTAGGCCTCCCAGGCTGTACTTTGATGGCTGGTGGTAGTGGCTCCCTTAGCTTCACCTTCTCCCAATGGTTTGGACCAGGCATAGGTGCAACCTCATACCTGTATGCTAACATGTATGTGGACACAAAGTAAGCACTGTCCACATACTCTTCAGGGTCTGCCCTTTTGTCCATGATGCATGCATATGCATGGACACAAGGGATACCAGTTAGCTCCCAATGATAGCAAGTGAAAGTACCTTTGCTTAGGTCCACTTTAACTATGTCAGAATTAAGCTCTACTTCATAAGTGTCACCTCTAGATACTTGCACAATGCAATGCCTAGCTACTGGTTCTATCCTTTGGAATGCCTTTCTTACATATGGAACTACTTTTCCCTCCATTTTTTCATAACTTTCCCATTTATCATTGTTTCTTTTCATCATATACCTCCTAAGCCACTCCATCTGAGTCAATATGGGCTTATCCCTAGCTTCTTTGATCACAGCATTGAAAGTCTCACAAACATTGTTAAGCAACATGTTTGACTTTGGGAATGAACTAAAAGCATGTCTAGACCAATGCTCAACTAGGATGTCAGCTAGGTATTCAAGTGCATCCTCAGACAAGAACCTTATTGACTCTATTGCCACTTCAAAATCAAACTACAAAAAGGACAAGAACACATTTACAACCACGCTTACACACACACCTACATAAACAGATTCAGCTAAACAAACAGCCACACACAGTCACAAAGATTCACTCACACTCACAAGACAGTGACAGTTACTCATTCAGTCATTGACTCACACTCACAGACAGTCACTGATTCACTCACACACTCACAGTCACAGACAGTCACAGATAGCCAATTTGAGGTGAATGTATACCTGTGTTGTAGCCCTAGCTTCTGCCCAAAATAGCTCTTTGAATGTTGCTCCACTAAACTGCAACTTGAAGTTGGCCCAAATGTGTCTGACACAATACCTTGTGTCTGCATTAGGGACTACCTGCTGGAAAGCTTCTAACAACCCCTGTTTTAAAATCAAAAGTAATGCATTACATAAAAAAGAATGTATGTTAGGTTGAAAAATAATATATTAGTAGTAAGTAATTCATCACCTTTTGTCTGTCTGACATAAAGGTGAACCCAAGCCCTTCATTTTCATCTTTTAAGGACTTCATTAGGCTCTCTAGGAACCACACCCATGTCTCTGTGTTCTCTATTTCACAGGTAGCCCATGCAATAGGATAAATATTGTTGTTGCCATCCTTCCCTACTGCAACAAGTATCTGCCCTGGGTATGGACCCTTGAGATGACATCCATCAACCCCTATTAAGGGTCTACAACCAGACAAAAATCCCTTTGCCAAAGGAGCTAGGCAAACAAACATCCTAAGGAATAATGGGGGCTCAGGTTTCTCAATCCCATCAATAACAACATTACATTGTGTCCCAGGGTTATACTTCATGAGAGCCTTTCCATAGTCCCAAACTCTGGCATACTGTTGTGCTGCTGAACCATAGATCATTAGCTTTGCTCTTGCCCTTGACATCCAAGCTTTGCTATAAGTAATTTCTATGCCAAGATCAGTTAACACCCTCCTAATGAATCCCTTTAGCTTCCACCCTGGATCACTTCTCCAATCCTCAATGTACTTCTCAGCTAGAAATTCAGCAGTAAGATTGAGATTTCTTTTTACCCTTACACACCTATGCTTAAGATTCACATTCTTAATCTGCCAAAAATCTTGGTTGACAGATCTCCTAGCAACCACCTTAAAATGGCATCTCCTCCCTCCAACACAAGTACACTTAGGCAACCTACACTTTTTTACATTCCATTTACACTGACATCTCCTCCTGCAGTGGATGGTTAACTTGCTGCTGTCATTGTGCAAGTACCAATATTCATATCTATTCTCAACTGCATGAACCCTCAATGCTCTCCTAAGCAGTTTACTGTTGATAAACTTCTGTCCTTTCACCAAGACTATTGGTTTCTTGAAGTCTGTTGAGGCATGAAACCATGGGTACTTGTCTTCTTCATCATCAGAACACTTAGGGCTATCCAACTCCTCTGAATCAGAACTAAACTCTCTCTGCAAAAAAAAACTTCTTTGCTCAACAATTCACTTTCAATGATCAACTCCTTGTTCTGCAACTCATCCTCTCTCTTATCTTTCACAAACTCCAAACTTAGGTTGACCTCTTGAATTATGTTCTGAATAGTGTTGTTCACATTTTCTTCAAGTTCAGCATCCTCATCTAACCCCTTCTCTTCCCCTATATCCCAATCAGGGTCAGTGTCATAACAATCAGAGCTGGAGGAGCCAGATCCAGCTTCTGTTTCCAACTCAACCTCCCTCCCTGTCTTCTTCTTCCTCCTACCCTTGGTTGTACACTTTCCCTTTCCCTTCACTGTATTTCTCCCAGAATTACCTTCCTGTTCCCCTTGCTTCTTCTTCCCTTTAACACTCTCAGAGAACAATCTCTTCCTTGATGATTTCTTCCCTGTCACAGTCTCATATGGACCTCCCTCTTCAGTCTGATCTACAACCTTATCTGTATTTTCCACATTCAGCTTAAACCTAGGGCTTTTCCTAAGTTCAGTGGGCTTATCAGCTTTGGTTTTTCTGTTTTGGGTGGGTTGTACAATACTGGGTACTTGGCTAGTACAATACACTACAACAAACCCATTCTTTGTCTTTGTCTCCAAAAAGCCCTTTACATCATCTTCACTCAAAATTTCTTTTTTACCATTTGACCAAGTCTTGCCCTTTTGTTTGTACCAAATATTCCATGAGTCTGGCACATGTAAGTCTAGCTTACCCCAAATACAAGATTCCCTCAGCAAGTCCACTGACATTTCACTCAATTTACACTTATACCTCCAATATTCCCAGCCACCCTCATAGCCACAGAAAGTCTTCCCCCTTATTTTTTTGTTCACAAACACACCCCCTAACCTAACCTTAACATCAACTAATTGAACAGGACCAGCAATTTGTGCATGTAATAGCAAAATAAGGAGATTTAGGAAAAAATGAAGACTTTTTTAAACCAAACATACATACATAGTAGCAATAAACATATACCCTACATCACTGTCCTACCAACATCTATACTTAAACAATTAACCAACAATTAAACAATAGTTGAAATGTATTAAATAATTCAACAAAGTACAAATTAAACCCTAACTTTCAACAAAATTGCAATTCTACCATCACCAACCAACAACTTACAAAATTAAAGACAAGGAACTAAATTGCTAACCTCTGACGTCGCCATTGACAGCAAGCAATTGTCAGGTCAATGAACTCAGCACGTGGTCCCCAGCAGACGCCCAACAATGGTGATTTTCGCAAACAACCTTCAAGTTAAACCCCAATTACACAGGAGCAAATTTTTCTCTCAACTTAAACTAATTTAGGGTTTTAATCTACAATTTAGGATCTAAATTTGAAGACCGGATCAGAATTTATGGAGTTAGGTGAATTTGCAGAGAGAATTGAATGAGAAAATTGAGAGAAGAATAGCTTACAATGTGAACTCGAAAGAAAATAAAAAAATTTAGGAGGGAAATAACGAATGTGGGCCCCACTCACCTGAAATCAAACGAAAAATTGAAAAAGGTGGTAATATGCATAAAAAATTATTTTAGTGGGTGGTAATTTAAAATAAAATTTTAATTGGGTGGTTATTTATAAATTGATACTATTTTTGGGTGGTAATTTACAAATTTTCCTTAAAATTTTAAGTGGATGGTAAAAAAAAAAAATTGTTTAGATTAAAAATAATTCAAGTTTTTTAAAGGTAGTATTAATAAGAAAAAACCCTAAAATTTATACAAAATCCTTGTTGCAGCTTGTTTTAATGAAAATATTTGTTTTGTTCTTAAAGGGTAGCACGTGTTACCCCAGGCCCTTACGTGGGTCGTTCGCCTTTGGTAAAGAGGCATTAAGACTAACACATAAAATGATTAAATGTATGAGATTAGAATTAAATTGCATATTTATAACGCGCACTTTAAAAGCTACATCATGAATAAATTGTTAGTAAATTCAGTAAAAATATAATAGAAAGAATAAAATTAAACTAAGGTAATTGAATTGAATTCACCCTCGGGAATGTATCTTTCACATCTTGGTCAAAAGGTAAAGCATCGGATAATTTTTTTAGAGACTTTCGCACACATTACTTGAATATGAGATTAAAACTGGTTAAGAATTATCGGATAATCTCATATGAACTCTGAAAAATTGATGGTTGATGCCTTGAATAAATCCTAAATTAAGATATTTATAGTTTAACAAGCTGAAAAACATTGAAAAATTTGGAAAGTCCCGTGACACTCGAGGGATTCATCAGGGGTCATGTGAACTGACTCTAGATAGGAGTGGCAAAATTCGGGTCAGCAAGTCAGATTCGAGTCAGATTTCGGGTTGATTTTGAGTTATGCTTATATACAATCAAAAATAGTGTAAAACTTAATATTATTATGAAATATGAAATTTGGTCAAATTGGGTCGAATTCGGATTATTAGGATTTGGATCAGGTCGGGTCCGGGTTTCTCTCAGTAACTTAACATGCGGTCCCTGCATTTGTACCCAAAAAAATACATAAAATATAAAAAAACGTGTGACCACATAATAATGGAATTGAAACTTTGTCTTTATCTTTAAATTCATTGGGTATATGTATGTTTTCGTACGAATGATGTGACTACACTGTGCCAAGAAATTAAATGCAATAAGCCAAAAATAATGCATATATTGATATATGCTTTTTAAGAATCTAGCTAGTCCATGAAGATGAGACATCCAAGTAATCCAACTAAGGAGTACTTAATAACTGTGGTATAAATTATCAAATGACCCACTTAATTAAAATCTCAAGTAACTAGTTAGAGTCACAAGATTGATTTTTATATCTTATCACACTCCTTTACAAGTCATTTGAGGTTAAAATGTGGCTACTGCATGAACCTTCTAACACTTCACACTAATAATCCACTTTGAAAAGAAAAGTTAATAAGATTTGAACCCATGACTTTTTGTTACGCATGCTTTGATACCATGTCTAAGAATCAATTCAATCAAAAAGTTGAGTTGATGATTAAATTAAAGTCATAAGATTGTCTACCATGCTCTCTCACATAAGGACTCTTTGGGGTTTGAGATTGATATGGATGCAATATGAGCCTTCACATAAGTGCTATACATTCTACTTTCAAAAGAAAAGGTATATGAATTAATTTGAGACCGTGATCTTCTAGTTCTTTCCTACTCTACTTGGTTTTATGTCAAAATTGGGTGTAAAATAGTAATGTTTGTCTTTATAAATAATCTTCATCTTTCATTAATTTGTTTTTGTCAATAATAAAGATATTTTTGCATATGTACACATCAGACCAAAGTCTCCATTAAATTATATAATTAAGATAAAACAAGTCCCTACCAAATTAGTATGGATCTCTCACATTGTACGAAGTATCATTCATTGAAAATTATATACGAAGTACTATGTATATATAGATTGTAAATAAAAAAAGAAGTAAGCAAAAAATTAATGGGAGGCACACATAAAAATTTTGCTCCCAAATTAATCCACTTCTTTGTACAAAGAAGTCATGGTTATTATTGCCCCAATATATTGCCTACAATTAGGTGCACAACCACCCACTCAAAAATTATGAGCACTTCAACAACAAAAGATAGACGTTCTGCTGGATATAAACCTAGCATTTGGAAACTTGAGTTCCTTATTGAGTCTTCGAAAAGAGATCACTATGTCCATCAACAGGTAAGGTTATTATTTGGTAACATATATTTATATTATATTATATTCGAAGCATAATACTTCGTATAACACAAGTAATATTTTAACATATATAATTATATGTTGGTCGCACTTATATATTTCAAACATATTTTCTTATACTCGTAGATAATATTGTTTTCTTATATTCGTAGATAATAATACTATTTTTTTAATTCTATTTTTTTTCTCTTTCTCTTCTCTTCACATTGTCTGAATACATATATAAACCAATATAATTAATGTCTTAATTGGTATCATATATATAAATGTTACTCCGTAAATTAGCTATGCTTTCTTATGTGATACTGTGTTAATAATTTCCGTTAATTATTTATTTGTCATGTGTGCTTGACTAATCGATCTATCTACTATCTAGGGTGAGTACGCAAACATAGTAAAGAGACTAAAATGTGAGGTGAAGAATATGATGGGTGATGAAGAATTGGAACCCTTCGAAATTTTCAAGATAGTCAATGAAATACAAAGATTAGGTCTTGGAGAATAGTTTGGCGAAGATATAGAGAGTGCACTACGTAGATTGGCATGCAAATTTGGTGATTTGGGACTTGATCTTCATGCTACTGCTCTTGGGTTCAGACTTCTTAGACAAAGTGGAATCTTTATTTCTCAGGGTATGTGTCTATGTTAAATGATTAAATTTGATCATATCATATCTTTTATACGCACATCATACCATATCTTTCATATGTGCTTGTTTATCACTACATTATTTTAATTTTGTAACCAAGCAAGGCTGATGGAGTTGGTGGGGGAATTCATCTTGTGACTTTGAGGTCACAAGTTTGAGCCTCACTAGCTAGCACCTCACAGTTTTCCCAATTTTTCTTTATACGACCAAACTACACGAGATTTGAAAAACTTCTATGATTAAAAACTTTGTGTATCTCCACATGACTAAATTTTTCCGTAGCTATGAATCATCAAGTCTAATCAAAGTACACTATATGAATAGTGTAAAAGTCAAATAGTACAAAGGAAGTACAAGTTATGATAATTACTTCTCCAACTTTTAACTTATAAAAGGTAATTAAGGTTGTGTACTATAACACCATAATTAATCTACCATGTAATTTTAGCAAATTATCATTTGAACAACATTGCTCATAATAAATATATATATATTCGAAATATTTGTGATAAAGAAAATGTCCTTCCTCGTTAAAATTGTGGTTAATATATCATGGATATATTTGGTGTGAGAAACAGATATCTTTAAGCAATTCGTGGATGAAAACGACAACTTTAAGCCATCTTTATGCAATGACAAAGAAGGGATGATAAGCTTAAATGAAGCCTCATATTTTGGATTTGAAGGGGAGCATCTATTGGTTGAGGCCAAAGCTTTCACCAAGGAGTATCTAACTAATAATCATTCTAAAGAAGAGGATAAACTCATTTTTGATGATGATGTGAAGCACACATTAGGGCTTGCATTACGATATAGAATGCCAAAGCTTGAAGCTAGACACTACATCGAGACTCATCCTAAGGATGTTGAAACGGCCTTGCCTGAACTTGCCATGCTCGACTTCAATAGGGCTCAATTGATGCATCAACAAGACCTCCACGAGTTGGCTAGGTAAGCTCTTCACAATTTTTATTAGGAAGATACTAATCACGTGATTCTTTCGTAAAAAGTCAAAATAAGAAGAACATTTAGAAACAGAGGGAGTATATACCTTTTATGCAACTATTGTTTTTAATCCATAGGTGGTGGAAGGATCTTGAGCTATCCGAGAAGTTGAGCTTTGCGAGGGATAGACTAATGGAGTGCTTATTTTGGGGCATAGGCACATTACCTAAGCCTGAACTTAGCTCCGGTCGAAAGGCTTTAACTAAAGTCTTTAAATTCATCACTATTATAGATGACATCTATGATGTTTATGGGACCATTGATGAACTTGAGCTCTTTACCAATGCCATTGAGAGGTTTGCGATTAAATTTGTACTAGATCTACATGCACGCACATAAGTAAAATTTTAAACTATTTACTAATTAAATTGTGTTATTGTTTATATGTGATTATTATGATGATATGCAGGTGGAACATTAACTCTATCGACGAGTTACCAGATTACATGAAACTAACCTTTCTGGCTTTGTACAACACTGTTAATGAGATTGGATATGAAATTCTCAAGCAAAAGGGTTTTAATTGCATCCCTTACCTTAAAAAAACAGTAAGTAAATTACATAAGTTTGACAGGTAACCTTAATTTAAGTGGACATTAGTAACTCCATCTCCAATTATTTTGACCAATATTAACTGATTGACCAATACAATTAAATTACTCCGTAGTAAATTGGGATGTTAGGTGGTGAGCTGGCAAACAGGCTCATTTTCAATAAGTTGCATGCTTGGAGTTGTTTTTTTTTTTTTTTTTTATCATCTTGTTCAAGTATTATTTTAAGGTGAAATGACAATTATACAATCATTATTTAACCTAAAACTCTACATACAACAATAAAATATGTTAATATTCTTATTGGTCATTTTACATACTCAAAAAGTTTTAACAAAGCAATTATTTGTCTAACACAATTATAACATCAGCAAATACAACTAGTTAGTCAAATCAATTAGTACAATCATCTAGTCAAATTCAGCTAACACGATCAGTTTGAATTTTCGACTTCTCACCAAACACAACCATATATATTATTTGTAGTAGACTAAAGTAGCTTATATTCTTGACTATATGCAGTGGGAAGATATGACAAAAGCCTTTTTGGTGGAGGCAAAATGGCTCCAAAATAGCCAAACCCCAACATTTGAAGAATATCTCAACAACGGATGGGTTTCAGTCTCAGGAATCGTAGCATTAACCCACGTATATTTCTTCGTGAGTCCAGAAATTACTCCTGAGGCGCTTCGTTGCTTAAGAAACAACCATGACATTTTACGTTTACCTTCCATGGTCTTTCGACTTTCCAACGACCTTGCCACTTCTGAGGTACGTACAATTATTATAAGTTTGCCTCATGACCTAAGACTTGAAGTACATGTATAGTAACGTTTAACATATTAACTTTTTTGCGTGTTTAAAATTTTTTGGTGTACATAGGCTGAAATAGAAAGAAGAGAAACAGCAAATGCAATATCATGTTATGCTAAGGAAAAAGGTGTAACAATGAAAGATGCACGTAAACACTTAAGCAAGTTGATCGACGAAAGCTGGACAAGGCTAAATGAAATTCAAGTTGTGAATGAGACTCCATTTTCGGTTGATTTCATAGAAGCGGCCATGAATCTTGCTCGTACAGCTCAATGCGTGTACCAACATGGAGATGGTCATGGATCACCCGAACTGATAAAGAAGAAAATTGTTTCTCTCATAATTAATCCTATCCAATTATAAAATGTTTAGAACGAGGTAGCCCCAGTTTCTCATTATGAGAAACACTTTTGTTTCTCATAATAGCATTTTGGAAAATAATGTGATGTTTTTTACTGGTGGGGACCGCGTATGTGTCATGAGTAGGAGCCTCAAATCTTAACACATATCCAATGAGTAACAACTTGTTTCTCACAATGAGAAACAGAGAGTTGTCCGTTTAGAACAACAGATAAGGTTATTAGTAATAGATGTATGTTAATAAGGATTTGCATACTCAATGCATGTATATATATTGTTTATGTTTGATTTGTATTATTAAGCTTTAAGTATATATCAGCTTAGGTATTGTTGAAATGGTGGATCATATTTCATTCGGGGAAGGTCATTATATCTCAAGGTGAAAGGTCATTTTATCCTCTCAAGGTGAAAGGTCTTATGAGAAATAAGAAAAGCCAACTAATTAAGTGGGACAAGTATTGTTGCAATAGCTAAAACGATCATTGCATTAACCATAATCATTGCATTTAACCTGCATTAATTAGCCTCGACTGATGCATTTGACCGTTGCTTTTGCTCGTTTATGTAGTAGTGTCTCAAGGTGAAAGATCATTTTATCGATCTCAAGGTGAAAAGTCATTTTAATTTATCTCAAGGTGAAAAGTCTTATGAGAAATAAGAAGACCAACTAATTAAGTGGGACAAGTACCGAGTGTCCGAGTGATGGGTGGGTAGAAAATAGTCTAATATGGAAGAAAGTCGTCCATAGAAGTGATGCATCTATAACTCATTCAGATCAGATATGGCAAATAATACAAGTGATGCACTTATTCAGATATGGTGAATAATACAAGCTAATTAGTGATGCACTTATCCAAATATGGAGGGAAATTATATAGGAGTATGAGAGTATATCATGAAAGTTAAGCTATGCACACCACACTTTGAAAGTTGAAATGAAATTAACGCGTTTCCCACAAAATAATTGATTTAGTGAGTGTAACACAAAGAACATAGATAGCCTAGATAGGGCAAGATATATGGAATGATCAATGATGGATCAACGAAACTAACACTGTTATTGTTCCAATGGATGGATTGATATGGACACCTAAAATTATTGCTAAAGCCAAGACATTAAGAGTAAAGACAGTGTAAAGAGAGAAAAAACATTTTAAAAAATAAAATAAAACAAAAGATCCGACCTGCCGGAATCGAACCAGCGACCTAAAGATTAGCTGTGTTTACCACTACAGTCTTCCGCTCTGCCAACTGAGCTAAGGTCGGATTGTTGATAATCATTATATCTTTGTATATATATACATATAACAAGGAATAATCTAGAATTAAATTAGTTTCAATTTACAAACAAATAAAAAACTAATTAAGCACTGCAGTCTGTAACACTAACGTGAGTTGATCATTTAATCTGAATTAAACAAGTGATTGAGATCTGGCTTAAGACTATACTCCCTAGTCCCTACGTCCCTAATTTTTGCCTTATCTGACTTTCAATTGTCTCTAAAATATATAGTTTTGATTTATAATATATATGTTTCCATTTCAATACTCTGCAATTTATTTTTATTTTTTTTATGTTTTTTTTCTTTTTTGATAATCTTAGAGTACACATTGTAACTAATTTAACACGTATCTACTTTAATAGTGAGGATATGTGGTCAAAATTTTCATATTTTGACCCCTAAAAATTCAGTAGGGCAAAAAAAATAGGAACGAAGGGAATATAATACTCTATTATACTTCATTCGTTTGCATTCCTTCAAATTTCAATATTTAAGAGGAAAAAACAAAAGTAATGTGTGGCTCATTTGTTCATACGAGTAACCCTTCATCTTTTATTTTAACCATTAAATAATAACTCCACATTATTCCATTGCAATTAACCACTCATCCTTCAAAATAACCCCATTTCACCATCATCATCACCCCCATTACTCGGTTAATCTCTATTGTATAAGTGAAAGGGGCAAGAGTGAAAAGTTGATGTTCAAATTGTAGAACGCTGAAAATACCTTAACTTCACTTTAGGGTGAATTTTTTTTCTTTTTTTCTTTTTTTATTTTTTCTTTTTAAAAGACTTTGCCTGTATAGTTGTTTTTCCACCAGTCCTTTATCCCTTGACCTATGGTTACAATAATCATGAAAGCCACCACCAGAGCCACAGAGGACTAGTATTTTTTGGCAAGACTTCAACGTGAAATGGGGTTAGCAAAATGTTAAGGAACACGTTCTTTAGACTTGACTGAGCAAATGTGTTTTTTTTTTTTTACTATCTATAGTTTAATTTTTAATCAATTTAGATTATTAGCCTCATTAAGATCATTTGTGGGGGGAAAAAAAAATGGTCACCATTTTAATGTAGCAAAAGTTATTCCATCAAAAATTACACTTCATTTTTTTTTTTTCGCTTCATTTCACTGGAGCAAGGAAAGTATGGGTATAAATTAAAAGGCTTCATCGCTACAATATACCAGAATTAAATCTTTCAAGATTAACTAGTCTGTAGATATCAAAACAAAGCAGTCAAATACACAATGCTTATTACTTTACTCTCACAGGACATGGCTCTATTACACTCCTATTAGAGACATGCCTCTGCAAAATTTTCCTACTAAATATTTGCCGTAACGTGCAAACCAAATATATAAAATCAAATACACGATGCTTATTACTTTACTCTCACAGGACATGGCTCTATTACACTCCTATTAGAGACATGCCTCTGCAAAATTTTCCTACTAATTATTTGCCGTAACGTGCAAACCAAATATATAAAATCAAATCTTATGGGCTGATCACCCTGATCTAACAACCAAGACATACTATATAGGAGAAGGAAAAAAAAAAACTTTCTACATTCACATTAACAATTTGTATTATACTATCAAAGGAAGGTGAGGAGAAGGCCACAAAGAATATCCTATGAAAATGAACTATAAAACAGCAGAAACATTATTTAACTGTATCTAAAATGTGGCCCTCCGATGGAACTCTCAAGCGCTACAAAACAACCCTATAGCAACGGTGAACAATTCAGTCCCCTAACCTGCCATCCCGTTCAAAAACCTGCTACACAAACGGTCAAACGCAAATGTTATGATAGTAATCACAAATTTAGAAACTGCAATAAGATCAACACTGAACATTGTAGAACTAATATTAACAGGATGAACAAGCTCATGAGCATGCAAAAATAATAACAGCGAGGGAGGGAAAATCTGATCTTTCAGAAAAGCTCTGATTTCACATAACTACTCATTATCTAACTTGATTTCGGATCCAAAAGTAAGAACATTTGCTTATATATCACTGATTAATTGTTTCACTAATAAATAAAGTCATGTTGTTTCACTGACATTAAACTAAACCACAAAAAACAAGGCAATTGTGAAAGCACAAAAAAGGAGTAGGATTCTCATAATAAACTTGTGAAGATCAATAATTTGATCAACTCTGCATCGTAACACTACTACAAGAAACTTGAGAAATACTTTACTCAAGCATATTTTCATACCTTATGCAAGGGTGTCTACAAGCCAAAATCAACAGTTATACAAGGGACCTTATGGATGTTGAGTAAGCACTGCAAGATCAAGACAACAAGAATAAGTAACACCACCACAAACATAGAGAAAAACGAATATTTTTATATGTTGAACAAGTAGCACAAGTGAGTCAGTAACACTAGTGAGAAGAAGTGACCAAAACGTTCCAGTCAGAATGGAAGATAAACAACCAAGGCGCAATAGCCAACTATTTCTCATTGTCATCACCATGGCTTGCAGACAAGTAAATTTACAGAGTTGACAAAACATTTCCTAAACAAATCAAAACAATACCAGTGCACCTAGTTTCACAAGAGAGCAGTTATTAATTAACCAACAGTTGAAAACCAACAAGGTTCAATACCAAAATCGAAAAAAGTCATCATTCAAGAATGAGAAAGTTATAAGGGTATGGAAAGAAAGAGTTCAACAATTGGACTTCAGAAGAGGAAAAAAATCAATTAATCACCAGAGACAAAATTTGGATTTTCAACACTGGCCCAACCAATTGCCTTTAAGCTGATGGGGTTCCGTCATTATTCGTACCCCATTCTTCGGTTTCGTTACCGTTGACGAGCACAGCGCCATCATTAGAATCAGCATCTACAACAACACCCTCTTCTTGACTTTCATCTGCTCCATTCTGCCCAAAGAAAACACAATAGATAAGAACATAAGTTTTTCACAACATTGGCATCAAGAATTTAAAAAGACAAAGGGTATTAGAATGCTAACAGTTCATCAATCTAGAAAATATATGTTATATTCTCTAAAAAAAAAATCACTACATTCCAAACAGCATGATTTACGGCAAATAACACACACAACAAAAAAGATAATGTACTCACTTCATCTTCAAGAACCTCATCTTCATGCACCTCATCTTCATGAACCTCGTCTTCATGTACTGTGTCACCATTTTCAAGAGGTTGGTCTTCCTCTATCTGCATACTCTTAAAGGCTTCAACAAGATCAATTTTTGATTTCTCAGCATATTGCAAGTATTGCTCAGCAGGAGGATAACTGCCTCTGCATATATTAATAAAAAGTCAACCCAGGTTACTAAGTATGACAAAAAGAATATCATGATAAAAGTTCACCACATTCACATAGTACCAACCTAAAAAAAATCACCCATTATGCTAAAAAAAAAACACAAATTATGTTTAGGATGAGGGGACTCTTTAATTATTCTACCTTGTCTCGGCAACTTTAGACTCAACAGCAAGAGAAATTTGCCAATCCTCAAACAGATTAGGATACTCCTGAGGATCTGCCAATGATTCTGCAGCCTTTGAATTTACCTGTAGCAAAGGTCAGAACATTCTATGAGGTTAAAATGAAACAATTTTGACTTCTACTTACGCAATAAATAAATTGTTAATTTGATTTTTAGAAAGTCAATGAAGCCAATAACCATGCTTTACATGCAAAACGATATAAATACTGGAAAAATTTTGATTAAAGAAGCAACATTGATTAGACTTGAAACTTGCTGGAAACAGACCATTAATTAGACTTGAAACTTATCCATGTGTGAAACATACTTACATGACTCTATCAGAAGCTCACCACTTACATAAAAAGAAATGCACTGATGTATGAAACATACTTCAGATGCCCAGGCTGTCACACATCTTCAGATGATAAAGATGGGAAGCATGAACAGAAAGGCACATCACAACTGAACCCAGTTCTTGTTTAGTCCATTTCAATTTCGAAAAATAGAATATTTTTGTTTTTAAAAACCAAAAGATCTAAAGTCCACCAAAAACGAATAAAAGCCAGGTCATTCACAAATGCGATTGACAAGCAACTGACCTTGCTGAGATCCTTTCTCCATAAGGCAACAATTTCGGAAACTTTGCTGGGAAGATAAGAACGTGCCATCAAAGCAGCCTCAGGAATTCGGTTACTGCAAAATTAATCAAATTCGATGCATCAGTTAAGAGATAAAAAGACAGACACCTTAAACAAAAGCATTTCTCTGAAGCAGTATTAACCTGTCTATCAACAGCTGAAGACATTCTTCCAATTTACCCAACGTAAATAAGCAAAGGAAAGCAACATTGTTTTTGCCTTGTTCTTTAGCTAGGGTAGCAAGCTCTGAAATTCCCTCAGCATCTCCAATTGAAGAATAAAGAAGCAACATGCCACTGAAATCCTTTGCATGCTTCAAGCATTCTTCTGCCATTTCAAACTGCAATATAGTAGAAACAATGAGAATCCTAAAAAGAAATCTTCAAATTATAGATAAATTATCAATCAGTCATATGAACCTTAGGGCCAGATCAATTTAAGTTTGGGCCAATTTGTACACAGTTAAAGCCTAGGTCAATTTATTACAAGTAGGTTGCTTTTGCCTGGTCAGCCAAACATTACCACCCCGATATTCAAATTAATTCCCACAAGCCATACACACCCTGAGGAAAAATGATATACACAGTACGATAATAACCTAATTATATCCCTAGTTTCCTACTAGTGATGAATTGAGCAACAATCAAAGATTAATCCCACAAAGGCCAAGATGTAGACACAGCCTCAAAAGATGACAAGGTGGAACAATCTCTTAGCTACTCACGACAGAATTTCTCTGATAGTAGCAAAACTTTAACAAGAAACTCCATAATAAAGAATAATGAGATAAATATACAGGCATACAGCAATCAATCACCTTTCCAGTAGACATGGCCAATTCTCCCAACTGTTTCCACTTAGATTCACTCTGAACTTCTGTAGCAATCTCCTGCAGAGTGGAAATTAAAAAATTATAAAAAAAAAAAAAACAGCAATCTCATATTGGTAGCTTCAACTTTTTTGTACAACTACTACCACTTACCTTTGCAATTTCTAGTCTGCCGAGCTGTATGGCAAGATCAAACTTATAATCAGGGTCAGTAGCCACTTCAAGAGCCTCAGCAACCATTCCACGTGATTCAAGGAAGCGAGCCACACTGGAAATGTGATTTTACCAATGAATATCCAATATTAGTTTATAGATAGAAAAAAAAAATGGTGTGACATGAACAATATGTCAATATTCCTCAGGACAACAACGTTCATCAATTGTAAAAAGGCATTCACATCATACAAAAAAGTGGCAAAGAGAAAGATATAGCTCCTTCCATCACTTTTTAGTTTTACATTTGGAATCTTTTAGTGAGAGAAAAACGGTCAAAGTGTACAGATTAAAAAGTGATGGAGGGGGTATAAAACGGAGTAACCACAGCTATGTGAAGTAGCAGTCTAGTCCATCAAAATTTCAAAACAAAATACTATACGCTAGTCAGGTCAATACATAAATTCTAAGCATAAACGTCAACATCTCAACTAATAAATAGCACAAAGATTCATGCTATCCCCCCCCCTCCTCCCCCTTTCCTGTTTTAAAATATTTGCAAAGTTTTATATTACACTCTTGCAAATACAAAACTTAGACCACTAAAATTCATAACTACACAAGCATATATACTGGTATAATTTAACAACACATGAAGTTGATATTTTCAAAATAAATACCGAGGCCAATCCAATTTTATTTTTTTTAATATTACAGTTGTTTTATTCTGTCGCTATGTACTAGTATGTACCTCTATGTTTAAAGTAAAAAAAAAAAAAAAAAACAAAGAGGCACATACCAAAAAACAAAGTGGAAAAAAAAAAAAAAAAAAAAAAAAAAATCCTAGTATTTAATCCAAAGTCTAAACTTTTAACAGACTGAAAGATAAAGTATCTCTAAGCGAACTTTTTAGAATATTAAAAGTTAAACTGACCTATTATGGTGCTCCTTTGGAATTGTAGGTAAAAGTTCCTCGGCACGTTCAAAATCTCCACGCATCACAAGTGTCTTGTATTCAATCAAGCTAAGCAGTAAAGTGTAACCTATCACACTGCAAAACAAAAAGAGGAACAACAAAAGAAGAGCTTAGTAATATAGATCACAGCAAAAACCACTTTTATATTGAAGGCTGCACGATTGAAGCTCACTTGAATTCTTTATCAATAAGATACACCCGACTCTGACTAGCAAGATAGCCCATCAGGTACATTGGACGGTCCAAGTGAAACATTGTGGTTACCTGAAGACAAAACATAATTTCTCAGGTAAATCTAGACCATTCTATGCAAAGAAAGAATATCCACAAAAAGTTTAAATGGATATACCTCACCACCAACACAATAATTCAGCCTCCAGGAGGAATTATTGTATATGAAACAATCTCCAACCCAAATTCCTGTTCTCACACGTTCATTTGTTTCATGGAGAAGCTCAAATGCATCCTCCACACCCTGGTCATCTATCGGCTTTCCACTATCCACATAGGATGACACAGCATCGCGCTGTAATTATCATAAGCCACAACAGTCATCACCCAGAAGCTCATGAGCATTTGAATAATAGTGGCAAGGAAGAAAAGAAGAACTGATTGAGAAGGGTGCAGAAAGGGGAAGCAATTCTCACATTGTATTTAAGGATGTAGAAAGATGTGTCACTAGCAATAGCCACCAAGTCACCACTATCAGCCCAGTATAGATTCTGCAATGATCAATTAAAGAATGCATACATTGTAAATGCAGCCACATGCGACAGCTTAAAACTACAAGGTAAACTATAAATATAACACTTACTTTAACATTGACATCAATCCTACGGATAAATCTGCATTCAACCCAGTCATAGAAACATATGAAATCATTAGAGCACATGGCCAACAAAGTTCCACCGTATATTCTCTCTGCGGAAAAAGTAGGTCTGATACTCTTCTTTTCCTGTAAGCAACCATAAACAACTCAGCAACGAAAAACACCTCATTGTTATAACACCAACAAAACTAGATTCTTACATTAGAAAAGAAAACAATAAGCAAACAATTCTCATATAATTCATCTAAACTCTTTAATATTATAACAATAGAAACAAGAACCTTTCAAACAGCAATTCAAACCTCCCAAGCTCATTGCAAAAATAAGCAGATACCATGCAGAATAACTCACACTTGCCCCAAAGATACACACAAAATGCCCAACAGAAACGGAACACAGAAAATTTTATAGGAAATATAAAGTAAGAACCTGGAAATTTTTGCTGAAAATCTTGATCTTAGAAGTGCTTTCTCTGACAGCATATTCTCCTTCAGATGACCAAACAAACTCCAAAGCTGAACCAAACGACCTATTCCTCCAAGCAACAGCAGTGTAAATGATGTACTCTCCATCCCCACAAACCACGACAAACCTCCCATTTGGGTTGTGCTTTAAAAACTGGAGAAACAAAAAAAACAATACATAAGAATAATGTCCATTTATTCAGAACGGCAAACCACTAGGTGCTTAAAACAAGCAATATGTTGATAAACCCACTAGAAAACACAGAAATTCAGTTTAAAATTAACTAAAAAAAATTCCTTGAAATACTAATGTTGATTTCATTTTCTGAAAAAAAACACCATAGCAACTACATCTGACCAGGAACGAAATTAATCCAGACATAATATAGACCGATTGGAAACCACCGAAAGGTTCAGGAACTCACTTTAAAGCTTTCAGCATTCAATTAACTACTAAAATAAACTGTACTAAACAGAAAGGAGCAGAAACAACCTGCAACTCCTCACACAAAAAAAGAAAAAGCCAAAAGGTAGCATCACCGTCTTTAATACACAAGAAATATTCATTTAGCTTTGATGTAATCTTTAGTTCAAGTCATGCTACTTGGCAACATGAATGCCTCACCTGTGGGTAAAGATCACAAGATCCCAACTCCTTCACAGCCAATGGCAACCTTTCACCATCAGTCACCTAACACAAGGAGACATCAGAGATCAAAAACCATGAAAGTAACCAAATTAAAAAATCATCTTCGTTGACAATAGAGTGCAAAAACATGCTATCAGATTCAAACCTCATAGCCAGCACCAACACGCCTGATATCAACAGTTTGAATCTCATTATGCTTAGCCCATATAATTTTTCCACTATTATCCATGCTAGCAACAGGTATTTCACGACCCATTTTCACCATGATGGTTCCTTCATCATATCCGATCACAACACTGAATGAAATTTAAAATAAATAAGGTCAGGCCATATCTACAACAAACTCTGCCAAAAATAAACTAATTAACATAGCTCAGAACAATGACTATGATATCAAGCCTTTATACCACACTTTCTTCCAACCAGAGATAAATAAAGACAAACCAAATAACCAATTACATTGAAAGAATAACACAGAGACAAAAAGAAGTCTAATTACAAGTTATGCAAACAAACGAAGCACACGACCTCAGATTGATTGAGCTTTGCTGCCCAAAAATACGTTCAGTAAACCTACAATTAAGGTTGTTTTCGAATTGCTAGGTAATTCCCAAAGAAGCACTATAGAATTAAAACTTACCGACGGGAGCTCTTCATGTATCCAATAGCCCAAACTCTTTCAAGACCATAGTTGAGAGTATTCTCAAGCCTGCAAATAAAACTCAAGGAATCAGGGACTGAAGTTCAACTTTCATAAAATACATTCTTCAAATCAAAAACTGACATATAAACTTTGATAAATAAACTAAATATCTGAAAAGATAACTTATGTTAAAAAGCAAAAATCCATATAATTCTTAAAAAAACAGGTTTTCAACAAATAAGTGGTCGAAAACATTTTCCTCAAAAAAAAAAAAAAAAATTGGTCGAAAACATTGTCTCTTAGGTCCTTGCAATATAATGTTCTGATTCTTCTACCAGTTAAACAAATGAAAGGACCTATGCATCATCGTAATCCAATATACCAACTCCAAATGAAACACAATGCCGTAGTAAATTACATTTGCTCCACTTATGGGACTCAAAGACTGGAAAGAAGGAGGTCAGAATGAAGTTTTAAAGAATGCATTTGATTGATGCAGAAACAAACTACTCCTTCCCCCCACCCTCCCGATATATACTCACTCCTAAATTATTTTTTTAAAATGTTCCATAATAACTTTTGCACTATTCACATGTATTACTTTGAAATGTTATGACGTAAATACTATTGTATTTGTCTCGTTGAATTGTTATAATATATCACCTTATTAAATTTTCTGAAACATATATAACAAAATATGGGCAAACTTGAGAACTGGGAGAACAATTAAAAAAGAGGGAGTAATTTAAAATCAAAAGGCAACACACCTGTATGTTGTTGAATGCCATATGCGAACTGTTCCATCCTCAGAACCAGTGATGATTATAGGAAGTTCGGGATGAAAACAGACAGCAGAAACGTTGTGCGTGTGCCCTTCCAAAGTCTGGACACAGCTCTTTGTCTGATAGTCCCAGACCTGTATGCAAATGACTCGCATATAGGTTAAATTGCAATAATCAAGCATTAGCAATTAACAAAACATGATGAGGCCTCAGCAATATGTCAAACCTTCGCCGTGTGATCATCAGAACCAGTAATCAGGTATGGTTTGTCACCACCAGTAAAGTAGTCAACACAATTCACCCCTTTAACATGGGCATCCAAAGTAAAATTTGGATCCTGTGAGCCAAGATTCCAGATCTGAAAAATACATCAACACGATTCCTACTTTAAAAAATATTCGAAGAGATAGTACATAAAATATTGAAATGTATTCAAACACATACCTTTATCGTGCGATCAAGGGATGCACTAGCAAAGGTGTTAGTATCTTTGGGGTTAAAAGTGACTTGCATCACATAGTGGGAATGCCCTTCAAATATCTGAGTGCAATTCCAACCCTTATCCCAATCCCAAAGCTTAATGAGCATATCATCAGATGATGATAGCACATAAGGGAGAGTGGGATGCACAGCTACACACCTAATATAATCTGTATGAGCCTCAAATACTTTAACTTTATCCATAGTATTGTAGTTGTAGACACGTATAAACATGTCGTCTGCTCCAGCAACAACCCATTGCTTCCGTGAAATAAACTTTGCTGACCGAACTGCAAACAGTTAAAGAAACAAAATTAATCAATCAGCGAAAAATGGCACAGAGCATGTAAGTTCCAACATTATGTGCAAATTATATACCTGGTAGCTCAGATACTTCGAAAGACTTTGCCATGGTCTATTAGACAAAGAAATTGTGCCAATGTTAGTAATATTAAATTATAAGAATTTCAATAGTCTCCAGAACTTTCTAAATATTAACATCTTGGTGACAACCCACTTAGGCACACAATAAATGTCTAGGTACAAATGACAGGACAAAGTAGTATCACAACTCCAAATACATTTAAACAGTCCTAACTCACAACAGAGGTAAAACAAGTGTGCCATATAATAATCCACACATAAACAAAATGATAGAGCTGTTATGCAGATAAGCCCCTAGCACTTAAAGATGTATATAAAAGAGTCCAATAATATGTTTCCAACTTTGTTTCCATTTAACCTTTAGGTGTTACAACAGAGAGACAATAAGCATAGATACTCACCTAGGAGGGTGAAATACATGGAAAGGCTGCAGATTATAAGGGAAGCTGGAGTGAAAGACCCAAAACATTTGGAAAATGCACCAATTTCTGTGTTTTCTAGCTTAAAAAGAATTTTACGGCCATCTGACTTCTCCTCCTGGCAACAACTCCTTATTCTGAGCTTATCTAACCCTTCACATACATATTATAATTTCTACAGGCGCAACGAGATGAAGACACAGCATTAAACTCCAAACACCAGATAGTATGCCAGCTTAGACGGGGAAAAAAAAAATCAGAAAAAAGACCTAGAATTCAACCTTTCCAATGGTTTACAGTGCTTCACATAAGAACTGGTTATGTATCAAGAAGCACCAAACTTTCAAACTACACACAGACAAACATGTCCCACCTATTGTTCAGAAATCAATGTCTTATCTCGGTTTAATCTATGACAGCTCAGCTCAACCTATTCACATGGAAGGCTGAATGGCACAGCAGTAAGTTAAATCAACAGCAATGGTAGTCATTCCAGCCTTCACCAAATATCCCCTCAGAGTTCTATTCAAACTAATACAAGACCAAAACAACTATGTTCGACATGTTCAGTTATTGGATTCCAGAGGATAAGTAGCATTAAAGCTTCCAAACCACTTCAGACATACAATCACTACACTCGTCAAGGCAAAAAGGTCCAAGACCCACATAATCGCCTACCACACTCAAGACATTTTGTACAACGATCTCTCGAACATTCGGGCTTCTAATCACACATTAACCATCTCAAAATTAAACATTGTAATAAAACAATTGATCATTAAACAATGATCAATCGTACATAGTACATTAATGCCGCATGATCAAACATTACATAAAGTCAATTAAGTTAATACAGGAAATCAATCAAAGAGCTTCCATTACTATTATGATCATACCTGTGACTGGTAGTTCCAGATAACAACAGTTCCAGAATAGAGACTCGCTAAAATCCTGCAACACAATAACAAATTATACGACATTGTAATCATTCTAACTCGCAACGTAATCGTAATCATAATGTAGCTTAAAAATGAAGGATAGAGAAGAAAATCACCATGGTTCGGTTGGATGTAGATCCACAGACTTCACTCGCTCTGATCTTTGCGCGAGTTTCCTCTGATCCAATCAAATCAAACATCAACAAATTGAACAACAATGCACGAATTCAAATCAAATCAAACAAACAAAAGATCTCAGAAATTTAGAAACAAATACAAAAACCTAATCGATCGAATTACCTTGATATTGAGTCGGAGAGGCTGTCGATTGAACAAAACACAAAAACAACAAAAATTCCATCAGATCTCAACCAAATTCAACAAAAAATAAGAAACAAAAACACAAAATTATGACGAAAATTGAAGGAAAAGAGATCAAATCAAATCAGATCTGAAAATCGTGAGAAATGTAGTGAAATTGAGAGAAAACGCACCATATTTAGGGTAAATTAAATCTGCCGACAATTGAGTGTAGATTAGCGATGAGATTGAAATTGAGAGATGGAAAAATTGCAGAAGAAGAGAGAGAGAGAGAGATATCAGGTGAGCGGAGCTTCAATGGCGCCGAAGTGAAGTGAGGGAAGAGAGAGATAAAAGAGAGAGGGGGTAAGTTAGCGTTTCGGAGAATAGTTTTTCGGGGAGACTCAAATGTGGCTTCATATATTATTGTTTATTCGTAATTTAAACGTAGTATTTTGTATGCTTCTTAATTAAGATTTGTAATTAAGATTCAAGTATTGAAGTATATATACATAAACAATGACATCATTTCAACCAATGAAAGAAATTTACATTGGTAGAAATTTTAAATGCATGTTAAAATTACTTATATATGTGTGGATTGGAGCACATCATTTCATCCAACGAAGAAATTCACTTTTTATTTTAGAATTTAAAAAATCAATTGCCACATAAGTAAAATTAATGAATGAGATTTGAAAGTTTATTGTAAGAGTCGCATGATTGTTTGATTTTTTTTTCACATTAAAAATTTTATTATCCTACTATCTGGCAAATGAGATAACATAAATAATAAAGGTGCGAATAAGTTTAGCTTACATAAAATATGTGTATGTTCAAGGCCAATAAGTTTAGATGAAGAAACGCTACTTGCATTTACAGTAATGATCGGGAAAAAAACTCCCAACATTTTTTAGAACGACTTGCTACCATCCTACTATACAAGTCTACGACTAACATCTGTGATATGTTTTCGTGATATTACCAAGCTTTTTTCCATTCCGTTGCTAAAATGATATCTAGTATATGTTTTTTTAATGGTTTTATGGAATTAAGGATTGTTTTGCTTACCGATGAAATTAAGAGCTATATGAGGTTTTGTTAGATAAGTTTTTCATTTCAAAATCATACATTATTGTTATTCAAGACTTGTAGTGTCATTTTTTAGTTCTTTTTCAAATGAACTGTTCATGTGTGGAAAGGAAGCTTGTGCATTCCAATGGTGCACCACAGGTAAATTTGTGTGAGAACGCTTTTAATAATTTATATATAGATATAGAGTTAAAGATATGCTCTGTAACCCGTAAAAAAAAAAAAAGATATGCTCTGTCAAAAAAAAAAAAAGCTATACTAGCACATAGAAACTCTCGCATCTCCTCTCCTCTTCTCTACTCCTCACTTCTAAGATTTCTCCATATTCTTGGCCGTTTAAGCCAAAAATAGTGTAATTTCTTCAGAAATTAGACTTATTTCGACCCTTTTCCCTTAATTATCTTTAGTTTTGCAAATTAGTTTTTAATAAATCTACACGAGTAGTGTAGATATTCGTCCGTCTCCCTATGGTGGAGTCGTTAGTTTTTGTTAATTTTGTTATTTATTTTTGTTTAGGTTTTTTTTTGTGTTAGGGTTTATTAAAAAGTAATCAATCTTTTGCCTATTATCAGTTCGTTAGTAAAGAGTTGTCCGGGATTGCAACGGTTGTCAAATCTTCAAAGGCGTTCAAGTGAATTAGATAAAAATCATCCATACGGCTACAATAAATCGTCAGACCGTCTCTCCGAAAAGGTTGTATATTCCAGCGATGTGTGCGAGGGATGTACCATAGTGAAAGATCTATTCAACGATAGTAGTTTTGATAAAGGAAACCCTTATTTGATTCAATTTTATGTATTTATTGATTTAGATTTCATTTGTAGATGTTGTATGGCTTTTGATTAATGAATTGAATTGTTTAAAAAAAAAGAGCAGTGCTAACTCACAAATTGTATTGTTTCAGATGAAGTTTTTATTAAGGCGATTGTTGATCAAATTTGTGATGTATTTAATTTTAAGGTGTTTATATATCTACTTGTGCTAGAATTATTGATTTCTTAAGAATTATATGTAAGTGCCATTTGACTATATTTTATTAATAAATGAAATCCCTTTTCTTCTTGAAAAAAAATGATAAAGATATGTTGTTGATTTGAAAAGATTATACTTCGTATTAAGTAATACGAGTAGTTTTAGAAATAAAATCTCGTATACTTAATACTTCTCTACAAAGGTTTTTAGTTTTGACAAATTATTTCTCATTCGAAACTAAATTATTTGATACGAGTAACATTCTTTTGATTACTTTTTACAACCGGTAAAAAAGTCACCAAATATTTTAAATTACAACCAAAATCCGATTTTCAACCACTTTCACTGGAATATTTGTGTTTTCAATAACTCTTGTGTAAGACGGACTTACGTTAATTTTATTGTAAGATGGTTAATGCAAGTGTAACTTTAACAATATTTATGGTAACTTTAATCCTTGTAAGGATGATTTTATTAACTTGTAATGAACTTGATTATTGTAATTTAATGTGTGATTCTAATGGATACGTTTTATGAAGGCTAATTTGATTAATCTAATACACTATAAGTGTTTTTTAAGAATTAAAATTATGTTAGGAAAATGATAACTTTTGTATATATAAGGGTAACTTTAAATATTTTTAGGGTACGTTTAACCCGTTTTACAATAAGTTAATGAAAATCCGCCTTAATCAAGAATTTGTGTTTTAAACTAGGGCGACCTCTTATTTTTGGGTATTTAACAAATTGAAAGTATTTTTGCTAATTTATCTATCTATCTATATATATCTATCTATCTATATATATATATATATATATATATATACATATATATATATATATATATATATATATATATATATATATATATACACACTAAAACAAAGGACGCTCAACTGAAAACTTGACACATGTCGCTCTTACAATAAAAAAAAATTCCCGCCTAATTACAGAATACTAAATGTGGTAATTCTAAAGTTTATTGCAATATAGTAATATGCAATCTAGAAGAATCTTTTTAGTTACTAATAATCACTAATCGATGTCATTAAATTGATAGTAAATAATATAAAAAAGGTTATCTTATATAACTAAATATGGTAGTATAAACAACACAAATATTTTATATCATATAAAATGATATTACAGATTTTAGTTTACAAGCATTTGAGCTATATATAAATTATAAAGATTCCGAATAGTGATCTTATTAAATTAATAGTAAATAATGCATATGCTATCATATATAATGTATACAAGTATTATTGTGTTACATTCCAATCATTTAAAAGCAAGTGTCTATGCATAACGATCTTCATGATTTCCTATCAACAAAATATACTTACTACATATATATTATAATTCTTACATACTAATTACATTATAATAGTGTATATATACTCATACTACAAATAACTCATAATATTCAATAATAAAAAAAAATAGAATCAAGTGGCAAAAGGAAACTAATTGTTCTATTTATTAAAAGTCTAATATTGTTGTTTTGCTATAAAAAATAAAAATAAAAATAAAAAATAAAAAAATAAAATAATAATAATAATAATAATAATAATAATAATAAATTGTACGATGCACCCGGGTTTATGTAACAAATTTCACAAAATCACAGGCAGAATTTAGTTTGAGATTAATTGCTAACATAATTAATAAAATAATAAATCATTAAAGTATTATTTCCTCTTTTTTTTTTCCACTTAGGTGGTAGCCTTTTTTCAACGCAGAACTTTAGCCGTTAATATTGTTAGTTGTGTTATTACTTGTATTAAAAATCATAGAGAGTTGTTGTTATATTTCAAAACTATACTATGCCATTACTATTAATACTACTTCTCGTTCTTATTGTTTGCAACAAATGGGTATTGTTTGTAAGATTTAAAATATTCTTGTATTGCAAATAATAAGATATAAAGGTAGTATATAAAATTTTGCTTGGGGAAACTTAATAAAAATACTTAATACGAGTTATGAATAACTGATAGAACAATGTCTACTACAAGAGGGGGGGTGAATTGTAGACTTAAAATTTTTTGCGGAATTAAACTAACTATTAAGAGAGAAGACACTCGGGATAGGCAATGAATTATTTCACTATGTAAAGATGAATTACAAACGTAAATATTCTGCCTAGACTTAAGTTCCGTGAGGAACTCAAGTTACCCAACTACGATCCCTCAATCGCAGTTTCACACTCTATGTGATTCGACTCTGAATCACTTGTACAATGTGATGAACTCTCTCAAGCCTCACACTTACAACTCTCACAAACCCCAATCCCAATTACAAAGTAATTACAAGGATTTCCCTAATGTACTTAAGAGACTCTAAGGATGGAAGGAACTCAGCTTTAAAACACTTAGAAACTTTTTACGCTCAGAAAATTGAAGTTGTTTTTCCACACTTTAAAACAGCAACGTTGATAGCTTTTTATAGGGAGATTGGTTAAGTCTCAACCATGTTCCCACTTCCCCCTCAATCCCACGTTCACCTGGGAAGTTAGGATGTATGTTGAGGAAATTGAGAAACATGGTTTCACTGACTTGTCTCCCAAGTTCAACGTGATACCTTAATTTAAGCAAACTGAATTTTTACCAAGTCAAAATCAGTTTAAAAGAATATTTATTAAAAAGATAAATATTTATTTATTAAAAAGATATTTAAACAATTAATTAAATTAAAATAAACTTATCTTTTAAATTAAAGAATTATTTAGATTTTATTTATTTGTAAAACAAAACTTTTCAAATTGATTTTATCTTTTCCTTAAATCAAGGACTTTGAAAACCGTTTTAAATATCTCGTAAAAATCGTTTCTAAGTCATACGTCGAGTTCCTTCAGGAACTTCGAGGTTCTTATTAGTTCCTTCCACCACTTTTGCTTCTCAAGTACGTACAATAATATACTAAGTATTTAGAGCTTGTGAGGATATATTGAAAGCTTGCAAATAACGTCAAGTCTTTCAAACTCTTTTGTTCCTACTCCGGAACATTTAGGTTTGTACCTGAATCTTCTGTTCAACCAAGACTTACACACGTCATTAGTCAGAGTTTGTTTTATGTATGTCAATCATCAAAATATTAAGGTAATCAATTCAACAATAACATTATGCATATTTCTAAGAGAAATAAAATTTTTAACTCGCTTTATGAAAACTATATGCAAGCACAATTAGAAGCATGAATATGGTAATTTTTTTGAATAAGTAGGGTAGAGGTGGCTTGATGCAGGTGGTTTGTCATGTTTTGATTATTGGAAAGTATAGCATGTATTCTGAAATGAATGAAGTATATTTATGCATTGAAAATGATTAAAAAGTTTATTTATTATTCAATTTACAATA